ACTTTATGTAAAATCTCAATTAAATATTCAATAAAGATAGAGGCATGGCCTCACTATTAATATTAAAAAAAAAAAAATAATAATTGGTTTTAAAATAAATGTGCTTATATAGAGAATTTTATATAATATGATTATATAAGGAGGTTCTATTGTATATTTAAAAAGTTATTTACTGGTTATTTATTAATACTATTAGGTGTAATTGGCTGCATCATGTCTGATCTGTCACAAGGAAATGATTTAGCTAATGTTAAGCAACATGGTGCCAACCATGGCTTTTGCATATGTAATATGCAAAATGATCAGTATATTAATTTTAATTATAATTATATACAAAATGCTCATTTTCACTAGCAGACAGAAGAATGATTCATAGAGATTGAGGGCAAAATTCCAAAGCAGATAAGGAATGACTAGCAGTGGAGTATGGATTAGTTAAGCCAGAACCATTAAGGATACTTAAATGGAACTAGCATATCCAAACATCAAAAGATGCATACCATTCCTTGGCTGAAAAAGCATGTACTCTTTTAGAAATGGCATTTAATATGTTTAATCTAAATGGTGAAAATGCTTTTCTAAAACATTGGAAAGATATAGAGAAATCTACCAATTGGTATTGAATGCCTAATCCCTTATGACACCATCAAAGTTTCATGTTCTCTGATGTGTTAAGGCTTGCGATGCTAATGCTATTTATACTTCGAAGATTTTTAAAGCCTAATCATGTCAAGACAGAGATTAAGAATAATTGAAGAGTGAGACAAATATCTAGTGTATCAAAATTATGCACTTGCTAGGTAATTGAACCAAAGTATTAAAACTTACATTTTCACTTTCTATGACAACAAATAGTTATCAAGAATTGCAAGAATTACTTGAAAAAGAATGCAAAATCTTGTTAGAAGTAAGTAATCAAAGTTAAATGTTAATCAATTTAAATACTCTAAATTTGAATATGTTCAAAAAGAATATTAATATCAGAGTATTTTACATCTGAAGATGCATATCCTTACATTAGTTATAGGAAGACTTTCATATGATTGGTTGTTTAAATCAATTTAATATTACATTACTTATACAGTTTAAAATAATTTTTTAAAAAAATAAAACCACAAAAAATAAGTCAAAAAGAAGTATATAGAAAGTTTTATTAGAATTATAGAACTTTACAATTAAAAATAATCAAAATCCTATTTTGTTTTAATCTATTTTTAAGAAGTCATTGTTATGCTAATTTCTCTAAAACAAAATGGAATTTTAATTATTCTCAATAGTTGTGTTCTACAACTCTAATAAACCTTTTTAATTATTTTCAACAATTGAGTCCTACAACCCTAATAAACCTTTCTATATACATTTTTTTTACTTATTCTTTGTAGTTTTATTTTTTTAAAAAAAGTACTTTAAACTATATAAATAATGTAAAATTAAATTGATTTAAACAGCCAATCATATAAAAGTCTTTCTATGAGTATGTTGGTGATAGAATTCATTTTTGAATTCTACTACCAATTATTCAGATATTAACAAGTATTATATGTGTTCGATCAGACTTACACATTTTTAATTAATATAACTTATATATTATATAATATACATATTAATTTTTATTGTATATCGATATTAGCTGTTTTCAAATAACTTTACCAATCTACCAAATTTGCATGTGAATGTACATCTTTTACAGCATGCTCAGAATTTGCCACACTAGTAAACATGTCTGTTGCCATAAAAGAAATAGTTCACTGAATGTTTAAAAATATAATATCTATATGAACTGTAAAGCAATTGAACTTGACCTTATCCAGTGATACAATATGATACAAGCATTATGGCATCTTGCTGATAGTTGGGTAAATCCTCAATTTAATACAAGAACAAATGTGATAAATAATCTTGTAAGGGATCCAAGTCTTTATACAACATTGTTAGGTTAGTATATTATAGAAAATTTGTCTGTTTATACAAACAATCAAAGTATTGATAATGGAAGTGTTGGTAAAAATTTGAATTTATTAGTAACAAAATTATAAATAACAGACCTTGATATAATCATCGAGTTGGTAATCAAAATTCAATGTGACTAACGCGATAGTGTCTATACGGATGTTAATTTTTCTTATGTTTATAATGATTTGGTAAAATAAAATAGAATTTTTTTTTATTAAATTGTGATTATATCAAGTTGATGAAATTTGATTGTATTTGAATATTTGTTAATTAATTATTTTTTATAAGTAATACTGTAGTATGCCATAATAAAAACTTTATTGATATTTTGTTTAGTGGTAAATAGAATAATAGTAAAGTTGAAAGTGTAGGTCTATTAAAGAGTTTAGACACTAAGCATCCATTTTTCCAAGATCTATATAAAGTGTATGATGATTACTTAAATTCTAAGGCTGTACTAATAAACAAAAAATTAGAATTTTATAATTCGATCATGTATACTGTCCTTGAAGATAACCAAGATCCAGTTTGGATGAAGCTTAAAGTTAGTGATTTTGTGGAACTACTTGAAGAGAGTGAAAGCATTGCATATGCTAAAGTTGAGTTTATTTTTTGACATCAAGCAAATAATGGTCAATATCACACAATTTTTTTATTTAATTGGTTTCAAGCAACAAACAATTTTGACAATATATTAGAATGCCCGATTTACCATATTCAAAAGCCTGAAGAGTCATGTTGGACTAAAATTTTTATAATTAATTTTATTATCATGTTCCTTGTGTATATTTTGTATATAATTGTACAAATACATATACAATGAGATACTATAAAACTAATCAAAGTTATATTTAAATAAATTTTATTATGATGCAGTATAATTAAAATATATAGTGCAGAAATTATATATATATATATATTTTTTAGCTTTTAAGTTAGGTTCAATTATTTTATATATATTACTATTATATATACATAATAAAAACCATTTTTTTAATAAGGTGAAGGGGTATTTCAGTAGGAGTGGGTAATTGAAAATTAATAATTCTTATATTATTCGATTTGTCTCATCAAGACAAATCAAATAGTGTAAAAAACCTTTGATTCTTATTGAATTTAACTGAATATCTAATAATTATCTGAATAATCAATTGATGGATTGGAACTCTATTGGCAATCTGTCAATCCACCACTTTACCTTTAAAGAATTGAAACTATTTAGCTCTAGAGCTAGTAAAAGTTATACAATAATAAGTTATTTATGCTTTTTTCTTTATTAAAGTTTTCTTGAAAACAAGAATTATATAATAGTAAAATAAAATTGGCAATTAGCAATATTTTTAATAAAGTTTTATTATTAGCAAATTTTGATAAATTTTAACTTTGCTGAAATTGCCTTATTAATTGTAAAATTTTTGTAAATCATGTGCTAAGTAGTGATTGGTCAGTCTCTGTGATCTATAAATACTAAAATAGTAAAATAGATGTTATTCTAACTTCGTATTTTTACGCTTATTAATTTTATTATGTGTTTCATTTTTTGAAATTATCATTTTTATTCTAACTTTGTAATTCACATTTTCATGCTTATTAATCTTTTTATTAATATTTATTTGTGCTTATTGTGTTTTATTTTTTGAAATCACTATTCTTTATTCTGACTTTACTTTTTACAGTAACAATACCAGTTCTATTCTGATAACAAGGTTCAAGAGTGTGTATTTCATCAGTAATTTCTATTTTAGTGACTTTATCCTTTTCAATTTATTTACTATTTTCAAAGTATATAGTAAAGTAGTATAGTACAAAAATGCAAATTAGAGTAAAAATCAAAATAGTATATACAGTTTGTAAAAAAAAAAATTCATCAACTATGTTACTTTAACTACTAATCTTAATTATGCAAAGAACAACACTAGGACAATACCATACTTACCTTAATCCTAACTATTAAAAATGATTGTTTATAAAAATTGAATTTTGCAAGCTTATCTTAACAATACATATTATTAAAATTTAGTATAATTTTCATATGTCTGTCTGAACTTGTACTGGTGTACAGTACTACTTTACTGAATACCTCTATTTTCATAACAAGTTTCAAGATCACACATGATCACATATTTCTTCAACATAACTTATATTAGTAGATTTTTGACTTTAATGTTATTGTAATAACAATTACCAGAATCATATGTTTTATCAGCATGATTTATTTTTGCTAATTAATGAATGTTTATATCCATTTTTTTCAATAATGTTTCTCTTTCAATAGCAATATCAGAAAGTGCTGATTATTATATTATGATCCACCTTAGCTGATCTGTTATAATAGATGAATTTTTTATGTTATACTAATTTGATATAATACTAATATTTAAAATTCTTTGTTTTATTAGCATACCCCATTTCTACTGATTCCTGATAATAAATATTGGATGTTTATCTTTTTTCAAAGATGATTTTGTATCGATTGTGATCTCAAATACACAGTCAGTGAAAATCTGTAAATCAATTCACTATATTAGACTTGGCATCTGAAAAATCTGATCTTACATAGTATGTAATTTCAGTACCATATTTATTAATTGATGTATTATTATGCTAATGTTAAGATTTTCTAAAGTCAAGTCCAGTATGATGAATTGATTTACAGGTTTTCACTAATCGTTACTCATGTATCACTAATATAATTCATCTTTATAGGCGCTTGATGAGTAATAGGTGTTTTATGTTTATTCTTATTCTTAGCATTATCTTAATAGTTAATATCATTTCTCACAACCAACAGTTACCAATCAATCTTGACTTCTAAATAATCTTATTAAAGCTTGGCAGCTTCACTAAATCAGTAAACATATATATTTATTATTTATGAACCTTTTTATATTTATTGTCTTTGGTATTTTATTATATTTATTCTAATTAAGATTTGTTTTTTGGTTCAGTTTTAATTCTTTCGATTTATTTTTTTGCATCTTATTAATATCAGTTTTTTTTTGTAATTTTAATGCCATTCTTTTGCTTAATAATGTATATTATTTATATTTTAATAATATTATTTATTATATATATATAGAGATTAGATCCATTTAAAAATTGCTCCATAGCTCCGAGCCGAATTATGCTGGTTGTAGGCTAGAATTATTCTAATGCTGACCAAATTAAATGATAAAATGATTAATTCCTATATGTATAGCATTTTAAATATATTTTTAATATACAATAAAAATATTATTAATATATTATAATTTTAATATAGTTATTATATGTTTATTATATTTTTTAAATATTTTTTTTTTTTTTATTTATATAATATCAGGTAGGAAAAATAATAATACATGGGTATATCAATTGGATATAAATGTATAAATAA